GCAGTTTGGTCCAGGGACGCAGCTACGCATTCGCCCAAGTAGGTTTCCTCTCCTGCCCCTCATTCCTTGGTGTTAGTTTGGTATTTTCGATACCTTTATGATGGGCCTGGCTGAGCTGGGTCTATTTTGTGTAAGTTCTACCACTCTATGGAGAAGTCCCAGTAGCAGTCCAGAGGAAAGAGACGTCTGTACTCATTGAGGATGAACCGGTACTCATTGAGAAATACTTTTTATGGAGTTGGAATAAGACATTCAGTAAAATTTGTAAGTATGAGGAATGGTCTGCGGATGAAAAGAGACTAAAAGGAATCCAAAGGACAAGAGTCACTACTGACTTCAGGGTTAGGCATGCAGATAATTTTATAGGTGTCCAGTCATCCCATGTACACCGAGTTTTTCTCTTTCTCCTCCCCCCTCCTCATAAAAAGAAGCTTTGGGGGCAGATTTTGGTGTGTCCCTGCTTAGTCTAAAGGTAGTTAATCTAAAGAAGGTCTTCCAAGCTGCTCTCAACAGTTCTTAGAGATGTAAAAGGTAATTTCAAAAGCCTGGGAGTCCAAAAGCCAACTCCTTCCCAAGCTATTGACCTCCTAACAAAAATGTATTATAACAGAAGCAAGGCTGAGATTCTGCTGTCCTCCTCACTGTGGTGTTAGGTACTCTGCACAGCTATGCTGAGGAATGATGTAAGGCTCTGCATGTTATGTCTTAGCACATTAATACAGACACAAATCTCTTTATAAAATCCCGTAGGTTTTTAGGTCATGTAATGGAAACATGATGAAAGAGGATCCCTGAGGATCTGGGATGATTTCTAGGGTTGTTATAGGGGTTTATTTCCTAAAACAAGAGCAACAAAACAAAAAAAGAACTTGCTTATAAGGAGATATTTTCATAAATCATTTTAATGCACTTCTGGTGTTCGGTAACTTGGTAGAGCTCCTGGGTGGTTCTGTTGCCTCAGCTGTGGTTAATAGCTACATAAAAACTGTACAAAATCCAATGAATGCTGCTCAGCATCAACGAAAACAATCAGAAACTAATTACAAAGCACAATGAGGAATTAAAGAAAAAGTGTTCGATAGGAAGAGTCTCGTGTTGGGAAACATTATGCAGTGAGAAGTGCAGGGATCGTACTTTGGATACACCAAAGCAAGCTACACTGAGTGTTCCCTGATAACTCCATTTAAGGAGGAGATTCTTCCCATCTCTGGCATCTGAGGTGGCTCTAGTCCTATGGAGTTA